GGAAGAAATGACACCAAAAATCCATGCCTTCACGCATGGGGGACTTTATCTCGATCCCTAATTAGAGATAAGTCTGCATCTAACACATGCTGCCGGGTAGCCTATTCCCGCAATAATAGCAAAGCCTACGTATTCAATATCGTAGCAGGTCGTTATTAATAACGCCAAAATCCATGCCTTACACGCATGGGGAATTTTATCCTGAATCCTAAGTAGGGATAAGTCAATGTCTAACACACGTTGCCGGTTAGTCTTTTACCGTGAAAAGGACATCAAAATCCATGCCTCACACGCATGGGGGATTTTATCTCGATCCCTAAATAGAGATAAGTCAATGTCTAATACACGTTGCCGTTTAGTCTTTTACCGTGAAAAGGACATCAAAATTCATGCCTCACATGCATAGGGGACTTTATCTCGATCCCTAATTAGAGATAAGCCTACGCCTAACACGCGTTGCCGGTTAGTCTTTTCCCGGTAAAATGACAGTCTATGTATTCAAAATCATAGCATCAAGACTAAGAGAGTTCATTCTCTTAGCACAACGTTACATGTGAAACGGACCTAGATAATTCACATGCTAGCCCGACTCAAACGGTAGTCGGTAAAGGCTTATCAAATCCGTTGATGGCTGAGGGTTTGCCAAAAATCCTACGCACACTTGCAGGCCTATCAGCTTAATAGATGTGAGTCGAGACTTAAAACAGATGCGCCAAAGACAAGTCTCAAAGACTTAGTCAAAAATGCACGGAAGCCACTTCCATGTCTTAAGTCAAAACGTTGAGGTCAGACCCGCGATGCAAAAACCGAACGCCGAGGTCACACCCGCATTCCAAATTCAACATGCAAGGGTGAAACCCGCATCTCAAGTTCAAAATGCAGGGTCCACCCCCACATTCCAGAAGCAGGATTATGGCGCATACCTTCACACAGGTCCTACATGGAAAATCCCTTCAACCAAGCTGCCTTCGAAGCGGGTGCAGAAAATAACTCCTTTGTGACAAGGAATCAACAGCTCCAAGATCAGAATTGAGATCCAAAGTATTCCGAAAATTCGTCCCAGTCAACCGCGAACTTTCAAAAACTTTGGAGGGGGTTCTGTAGGCTGTCTAGAAATCACAATAGATAGTTGATCCCCCATCAAACACCGACGATGGAAGTTACAACTTGACGACTTCCAGAAGGCTACAATTTGAGGACTTTCACGTAGAAGGCTACAATCTGACGACCTTCACGACAACTGATGAAAGCTCTAATTCAACAGCCTTCACAATCAACATCGGGAGTTACAATCTGACGACTCTCATATTATCAAGAGCTAAATGTAAGGATTACAATCTGACGATCCTCACAAAAGTTCAAAAAAAAAAAAGATTATAATTGACAATCTCTTCAACGCGAAGGTCGCGTTTGACCATTTCAAATCCTTGAAACGGTCCTCCACTTAATAGGGCAACTAACCTCCATCATGGAGCTAATTAAGGGGATAGTTATACGATGGCTCCGTCTCGTCGAGATAGCCGATTTTCATATATAATTCGTCTAATTCCGACTTACGGTTTGAAAGTTATGACCTGTTCTTCGCAGCAAATTATGTTCTGAGGTCCGTCTGCAAGACTGGACTTCATCAGAACATTGGACTTAGCCTGAAGCTCGCCAAGCCCGCCTAAGGTTCGCCTCTGCATTACAGAGTCAAAGCGCACAGGTCGAACCAGCGTTATAACCTCAAAATGCAGAGTTAATCTCTAAAACAGCACGAACTGTGCGTTTTCAGGCTTAACTCTGCGTTTTCAACATCAAAACGCAGAGTTAATCTCTAAAACAGCACGAACTGTGCGTTTTCAGCCTAGAACAGGCTTAACTCTGCGTTTTCAATATCAAAACGCAGAGTTAATCTCTTAAACAGCACGAACTGTGCGTTTTCAGCCTTTAAACAGGCTCAACTTTCAAAACGCACACGTAACGTGCGTTCTTCGACAGACTCGACTGCATCCCAAACTCTGAACGCAGAGTTGATCCTCAACGCACCAGTGACCTGTGCGTTTCCAATTTCAGAACGCATGCGGCCTGTGCGTCTCAAATCTCCAACAGAGATTTAACTCTGCGTCCTAAGCCTTGGACGCAGAGTTAAAGCCCAAACGTGGCATGTGCGCCTGTGTTGCTTGAACTGCTGAACGCAGAGTTCAGCTCTGCGTTCTAACGCCCTAGCACAGAGAATCTGCCTGTGCGTTCAGCCACCAAGATAGGCCCAACTCTGCGTTTTTAGTCTAAAAACGCAGAGTTCGGGCCCTGAACGCTATTTTTCAGCGTTTCACTCGTTCAAAGCACGTAATGAACAGTTCCAGGAACTGTTTTTCCCCACGATTTGAGGGATTTTCGCCCCACTTAAGAGCGGATTAAGGGGGTAGTTACCGCCCTTAATCCCCTATAAATACCAGAAACTCAATTGAGTTAAGGGATCGAATTTTCTCTGATCAACAAAGGGATATTCGGTCAAAAGGCTAGCACATTTGGGCTCTTGGATTCTTCTTTTTGGGAGCAAGGGGGAGATCGACGTTCATCCTCAGCAACGATCGACCACAGGAGCATTCCCTTGGCTTATAACCGACTTTCGGTTCAAATCAACTCTTTTTCAAGAGTTCAAAACTTGCTCTGCAAGTTCTTCTAAAAACTCGTTCAGAGTTATCAACTCGTTAAGAGTTATTTTCAAACTTGCCACGCAAGTTCTCCACAGCGTCAAACCGTGAGGAGAAGATATCGTTCCAGTGAATCAAGACGTTCGGATAGTCAACAGAGAGCAAACTCGACGCGAGCATTCGAGGGAGGCACTCCATCGCCACCGTGAAGAACCCAGAATTAAACAAATGGAAGAATCAAATTCATTCTCCTCTCTTTTGTAATCGGAATCCAAATTGTAATTGATTTTGAGAGGAATACAAGTCAAATTTTTCTTTCATTGTCTTTCTACTGCAAATTTCCAACAAACAGCCAGACTAAAAACCTATTTACATCAACAAAAATTGCCACATTTTTTACTTCATAAGGACTAAACTGAGGCCTAATGAATACTGAGTAAACCGTGTAAAAGCACCCTAGTCAAGCCATTGTTATCAATCTTATAAGACTAGTGATTGTTGGTTTGACTCTTTATAATCAGCGTATTCAAATAAATGTAAACTTACTTATCTGGAACAGTGCAAACCTACTAAACTTCACATGACTTATCCACATCCAATTGTATTCACTTAATGGATGTGAATTGGAGATCATTTTTCCTTATTTCCCAAAACCGGATGTTTGATAGAGATACCTGATCTGTTACCTATTGATGTTAGCTTTCTAACTAAGACAATCCTCTTGTACGTTTTAATCTACAACACCTTAATAAGGTAAGATTTTCCAGTTAAAAAGAGAAGTGCAACATATCTAATTCTGTCTACCATATTCTGGCTTCATACTTCTTGCATATTCATTAATTTGCCAATGGGAGCGTGTCTACAACCAGAGAAGAGGGTTGACATGGGCTAAGCTATCAATTGGCAAGGTCCGAAAGACAATGGGTTTATAAGTGCAGTTCCAAAAACTTCAATACAATATCTTCAAAAGAAGGAACAACTTTAGCATAGACTGACAACCAGCTAGAGCTGATATAAAGTTGAATTTGTTGAGTGTAGGAATCCTCTTGGTTAGGCCATGTACATGGGCGATCAGGGTCTTTAAATCACTATAATTTATTTGAAGGTTGCTTAGAAATAAGAACATATAGTGAGTACACCAACAAGTTTGTTGAATACTACTATCACTGAACATACAAAGCCCATACAATCACTTGGCATAAGCAAGAGGATAAGATGGATGCTAATCGGTTTATCTTGTGCCAAAGGAGTTTCACGTATTTTGGTAAGAAACATAGATACAAGTAGCAGCGTGACTACAAGACATTTGTAGATAAACAAGGATCCAGTGACAACCCACTAGGGATTCTAGGCTTTCCCCCCATAAGATGTACCTAGTACCTACTATTAAGTTGAGCAATGGTGGTGACGATTTTCTGAAAATGAGAAGGATGAAGGATTCATGTTAACTTATTTATGTAAGGAAAATGTCATACAGTGAGCATGGGAATATTTATGTACGGAAGGGTTAATATCATATTTCTATGGATTTGAAAGGACTTTAACTTTTGGCAAGGGTTTCATCAAGGAATATTTATATCCTCAGAAAAATGTTCGATGCACCTTGGAAGATAACATTCCACTTGTTGCGTTTTTACATACAAAGGAAAATATTTAGTGTTTAAGAAAATTTGAGGGTATAGAATAGCATGAACGCGTATGTCACAGAAGTAGTTAATGATACTTAATACTCTTCTGGACAAGAAAGATGTCCGGGGAACCTTGGCTAGCTGGAATTAATGATCCAAAAATCTAATTCTTTTTTTGGTTCTCATATGACCCATATGGATTTAGGCATGAAAAGGTCATAAAAGTAAATCAACTGACCAATGAGCAACCAGATATGGTTGATTACACATCAAAAGTCTAGATTTAGACATAAGCCGGCCACTTGTCGGAAATTTCACAATTTCAAGTTCGAGTTGCTATTCTCTCATATGGAAATGAATCAGCTTTATGGTAACAGTATAAAATTGCCTTTGATACCATTATCTACACAGAGATAGCTATTTGCAGTGAATAATAACCAACAGATCATACACCAATTCATTGTCTTTCTCTAAAAAGAACTTTTTTAAGCCATCAAACATTACTTATTCTAATACTGACTGATAATTGATTTAAGAATAATTCACTTTTTGACTTAAAAATCCAAATTATTTAACCAAAACCATTCACCCAAAACCCTAGAAGATCAATCACAAAACAACTCAATCAATTTCAGCAGCTGCCACGAATAATTTCAGATCCGATACCGCGACAAAACTAAACCCCAACAAACAAAGCACAAAATAAACAGCGAAAAGAAATTTTCTTTTAAAGCACCTTTTTGCAAGTGAACGGAGAAGCGAGGAAGTAGATGCAATCCGTGTTTTTCTTCAGCGCCTCCTCCTCCGCCGTCGACGGGCGATTCGCCTCCATCATCTATCGATCGCAAATCAAGACGGTGGGTCTCAAATTAGGGCAAAAATAGAGGAGGAGGAGGGAGAACTGGAGAGGGCTGGATAAGGAAATTGAGGTTTTTGAGGGGTTCTATTTGATGATTTTGTAGCTGGGTTTCGATCGGTGTTTCGACCTTGGTAGTCATTATATTGAGTAGTCGAGGGGTGTTTTTGTAACTGTGTGATCGTCTGGCTACGAGGGGAGGTGGGGATATGGGATTGGACGGATGAGATTGATTGTACTGTGATCTCCCACCGTTGGCTTGACTAAATGAGCCCTAACTACACAAATGCTATGCTCTCAAATTAGGGGCTGTCCGGCTTGATATGTAAAGTAAACACCATAACTAGATTCATATTTCACTTGTTTGTTTGGTTTGGAATATTTTAAGGCTAAATACTCATATTGGTATTTTAATTTCACCCTATTTTCTAACAAGGTATTTTAAATAGGCAAATCCGTTTTAAGACATTTTAATTGATCAAACTAACCAATAAGGCATGGTTTCTCGTCGGCGGGCAAATTTCCGACGAGATCTCGTCACGTGCATGGCACATGATGTCTCAAAACTTGTTTTTAGCAGCGGCGACGGCAACAATCTCGTCAATCTACGTATAACACTTGAAGAAAGTATTAGTAAAAGATCTTAGACCACTTCTAATAGATATGGCACCAAAGGAGTTAAAGCTTATTAAACTAATCAATATATAATCAACAACTTAGTGGAGGCATCATAGCAAGAACGCACACTCGCTCTTGAGACCGAGTCTTTTGCTTCTCGTTTCATCCTCTGCACGAACCAAGGGCTCTCCCTTCCTCCCTCCAAACAACCAAAAAACTCTCCCAGCCCATCATTCCCCCTTCAAATAACCCCATGAATCCCCACAACAAACTCCACACTCTCTCCCTCATTCCTTCTCGCAGTATCTAACACCAACAAGATCAAATCAATGGCCAACACCAAGGTCGCTGTCACCGCCGCCCTCCTCATCGTCGCCCTGATTGCAGTATCGATCCCCGCAACCACCGCCTTCAACTGCTTCAACGACTGCGTTGAGCGTTGCTCCAATGGCAAGAATGAGGACAGCTGTAATGCGATGTGCAAGACCGCTTGCATCCCAGCAGGCGCTGCAGA